ACCAGTTTCCTAAACTGTTAAACATCCACCTACTATAGGACCTGGTTATAGCACTCCTAGTTATTTACTCAAGAAGATGAATGCGTATGTCCATAGAAAGACATATACAAATGTTCATAGCATCTTTATTTGCAATGGGCAAAAAACTGGAGCTAACCCAAATGTCCATGAATAAGTGAGTGGATAAACACACTGTGATATAATCTATGCAATGGAATACTATACCAATAAAAAGGAATACTCTGTTGATACAACAGCATGGATAAACCTTAGAGAAGGGAGCAAAACAAAGAATACATACTGATTCCACGTATATAAAATTCTAGAGAATGCAAACTAATCTAAAGTGACAGAAAGAAGATCAGCAGCTGCCTGAAGGTGGAGACAGAGGTGTTGGGAGGGAGTAATTACAAAAGGACACAACGAATCGATAAATATGTTTGTTATTTTTACTGTGGTCATGGTATCGTGAGTATATGCATATGTCAATAGTTGTCAAAAATGTATACTTTCAATATGTGAAATTTCTTTTGTATCACTTAAAAATATTTTGTAGCTGGGTACAGTGGCTCATACCTGTAATACTAACTATTTGGGCAGCTGAGGCAGGTGGATCACCTGAGGTCAGGAGTTCAAGACCAGCCTGACGAAGATGGTGAAACCCCATCTCTACTAAAAATACAAAAATTAGCCAGGCACGATGGTGGATGCCTGTAATCCCAGCTACTGGGGAGGCTGAGGCAGGAGAATTGCTTGAACCCAGGAGGCGGAGGTTGCAGTGAGCCAAGATCATGCCACTGCACTCTAGCCTGGGCGACAGAGCAAGACTCCATTTCAAAAAAGCAAAAAAATAGCCACAACAACAACAACAAATATATACATTCACATTGTTGTGCAACCATCACCAACTCTGGACCCATTAATATGGTATTATTTATCACGATTAATAATTATAATATAGCACTATTACACGTATTCACATATTAATACTTATATCTCAATAAAGCTGTTTTTTTCAAGCCACAGACATTTTTTTCTCAGATTTTAAAAATGAAAACAGGTCAGTAGACACTAGCCTGATAATTGGTTATGTATGAGAGCAGTTACCCTGTGCTCAGCCTTGGGCAAAGTCTTCTCTGTATGTTATATCCATCAACCCTCACAACAACTCTATGAGTTAAGTAGTGTTACAATCCCTATTCAACAAATGAGTAGGACTTCTTTTATGAGAAAGGGTGAAAGTAAGTAACTTTATCAAGTATATTCAGCAACTAAAATGGTAAAGCCATGTTTTGAACCCAGGCAGCCTGCTGCTAGTTCAACACTTCAATATCCAGGCATAGTTTTTCAATGAGGAGAAAATGGATGCCCTAGTAATTTTAACCTCATTTTCGAGGCTGAGAGGGAAATTAAAGTATCTCTGATATAGAAACCAGATGTGTTCTTTTTCACTATTCATTTTTTCACAAAATTTTCGGGATATTTATGTATCAAGCACTGCTCTGGAAACTTGGGATGCAAATACTATAACATAACAAAACAAATCCTGGCCCTTGCTTTTAAAGTCTCATGTAATCTATAAATTTTGGTATACTTGGATAAATGTAATAAAGAAAGTGCATACAGATTACAGTAACTAATTCTTCTGGGAGCCTTGAGAAAAACGTCAGTAAGTAGCAAACTTAAAACAAGTCTTGAAATTTTGGCCAGCTTTTTTTCCAGATAGACAAAGATAGGAAGCAGAGAAAGAAGGAGGCAGGTCATAGAAGTAACATAACATACACAGAGGCATGCAGGATGGCCCCAAGAAGCAAAACGTTTTCAGAAAATACTGGAAATGTACTTTTTAGGTCAAAGTGTTATAAGAAGAATCATCAGCGATTGAGTTGGAAATTTCTGGAAAGTGAAAAGGGTTCTTCGGGAGTTCATTAGGCTATTATAATTTCCAGAAGTATTTGAACATAAAATTCGTTGTGCTTTGTGGCCATGAGATAACAAACATAGAGAACTTGAGAAGTTTAGCTACCATACACACTCCAGGTCACAATGCGTGACCTAGGAATATATGTGCTTGGTATCTCTAAGTGGTGTATTGGTACAATGAAAATAATTTAGGTCTGGAGTAAACTTTTGTGGCAAGCTAAATTTTACATGGTAACAAGACCACCACAAAGCTATTTTAATAAGGGAATAAATGCTTATGAAACATGCTTTACAAACTTTGTACTTGTATGAAAATGTCATGAAACTACTTTTTTGTATCCCTTTTCCCTTTAAGAAAATGGAGCAGTTGAAATATGAAAACTTTTAATGCTCATTTTTTCCCCTTAAGGACTCCTATTCTTGTGTTACTTTTGTTGGGAAATGTTAGGTCTATACTTCTTAGTAACAAATAAAGAGGCCTTTTGGTTATCTTCTTAAACAATCCCTTGGTTTACTTTTATAGATTATTGACGCAATTTGTAAACATTGCATTAACTTTGTAGAAACCTCCAAAGATAGTTTTCTTTTTTGTAAAGGCTAGAATTTCCTGAAGATCTTGGAGTTTCGGCTCGTGTTTATTATGACTACCTCAGGGACTGATAGGAGTCTGGAAACATGGGTAAAGTTATTACAAAAAGTTCTACTGAGCTTATTTCAAGAACATTTCTATCTGTGAGGACTAATACCAAGGCTGAAGCTATCGTGTTGTGTTACTTTAAAGCGTGGTGGAGAAAAAAAAGGAAAAAAAATCGTAAAAAGCATTTAATTGAGGAAGGCCAATGGAACAAAAACATCCATTGATTTTTCCATGTTCTTGCGTAAAACTGAATGATGTAGCAGCCAAATTATCAAAATCAAAATACTATGTCCCCAGAACAGTTTATCAAAACGTCCGGGATGGTAAGGAGTTACAGAGCACTTAACTAAGTCTGAGGCCACTTAAATGTGATAAGTAATTTTGTCATACACTCTCCCTCCCCTTTTGAAAGAGGAGTGGGAGCAGAGCCATCTGTGTTCTGTTCAGCTTCAGTTTAGCAAAGAAGACAAAATAAATAAGTAGCACCCTATAGAAACAGTAACAAGTCCCTGGGAAAGATACAATATACTTACTGTTGGAAAATTCAGCTCCAACTTTTTCATAGAGCATGTTTTACTTGAACCAGAGGGCATCTCAGGTCTGAGAAGGATGAAATAGATCACCATCAGCCCACACCATCATACTTTCAGAAGATATATATATAAGCTTGCTTGTTGTAATCTCACTCGTGCTCTTCCTGCTCCCCCACCTCTTTCTTTTATTGCCTCCAAAAATCATGGAAATGTAAGACTAAGCATAGATGTATATGATATATGCTACATGGAAACAGCAGGAATCAATCCTGTTTTAGCTGCTTGAAACAGTTTCCATCTTTTCTGAGCTTAAGCTTCTCTTTTATAAAGCTTAAATAATTATATCTATTTTTTTTTTCAATATTATCATGAAGACTGTGCTTGGCCTGTAATGGGTGCTCCACAATTGGTGGCTATTAGTACAGTTATTTTTATTATTGTCATTATTGTTTTAATTACTGTCATAATCATATTGGAGAGTGAAAGGGAGACGTTTAAACAGCTCATGTGAGATTTTAGCATTTTTTGGTATCTTTTGATCAAACACTTCCCTGAAAATAAAATATTTTGGTTTTGATAACAGGAAGATAATGTGACAATTAGATTTGTCACTAGAATAGAAGGCAGATATTCATGCCAATCTTGTGTATTTATACCACTAGAACATCTTTTTAAAAACCTAATGATAGTTACCCCATTTGAAATTTGAAAACTACAAATACAAACTTTTAAATGTAACTATATCCAGCATTTTATGTTAAAATCATTCTAGAATCATTATTTTAAGATGGCTAATGGTACTGCCCCATGCTAGCCACTAGCATGAGCCTAGCCCCACATCGCCTTGGGACAGGAGTCTTCCTGCTTCCCTTCTAGCCCTAGGAAGAACTGGTGACCATCTCAGCCTTCAAATGCAAAGCTAATTTTCAAGCAACAGTAGTTGAAAGCACCTCTACTTTTTTTAAATTTAATTTAATTTAATTTAATTTTTTTTTTGAGCCAGAGTTTTGCTCTTGTTACCCAGGCTGGAGTGCAATGGCGCGATCTCGGCTCACCGCAACCTCTGCCTCCTGGGTTCAGGCAATTCTCCTGTCTCAGCCTCCTGAGTAGCTGGGATTACAGGCATGCACAACCATGCCCAGCTAATTTTTTGTATTTTTAGTAGAGACGGGGTTTCACTATGTTGACCAGGATGGTCTCGATCTCTTGACCTTGTGATCCACCCACCTTGGCCTCCCAAAGTGCTGGGATTACAGGCTTGAGCCACCGCGCCCGGCCGAAAGCACCTCTACTAATCACAGCATATGATATAGTAATATAGCAGCGTTCTGTTTACAGTAATATAGCATTAGATATGGATAGAAACATTCAACAAATGAAGAATGCATGTTTTAAAACTGTTCTATTACCTATAGAACATCTTTGCACAAGGGGAAAATAATTTGACTTTTCAAGGTAGGGAACAACTTTTGTAAATTAAACCATCAATCCCAGGGTGTTTTTAGAAAAGTATCGCTTAGGTCTGTGGAGGTAAAAATCTAATTTCACAATTGCTAGTATTATGTACCTGTGTTTTAGAGCAGCTGGAAGATAAATTCAGGACTTTGTTATGATTCTTTAACTATAAAATTTTGATGTTATTTTTCTTAAGGTTGCAGGGTTCATATAATATACCCTACTGATAAAAACTATACTTTGTGGCAGAAAGCTGTCTGACCCAGCAGAAGTAATTCTTCCGACTTCCCTGGAAGCCAAGGGAGCAGGCAGCTGGGCGTGGGGGACTGGCGGGGGGCGGCCCTGGAATAGGGGCTGTGGCAGTACACGGGGACCCGGCTGTGGTGGCTGCCAGGCTGATGAGAAACTACTAAAGTTCCTGGGGAAGCAAAGTAGAATTTCATAAGAACAAAATGGATAGAGAGGAGAAAACCTATGGTGGCTGTGAAGGCCCTGATGCCATGTATGTCAGATGCATATCACCTGATGGCCATGAATTTATTGTAAAAAGAGAACATGCATTAACATCAGGCATGATAAAAGCCATGTTGAGTGGCCCGGGTCAATTTGCTGAGAATGAAACCAGTGAGATCAATTTTAGAGAGATACCTTCACATGTGCTATCAAAAGTATGCATGTATTTTACATATAAGGTTGGCTACACTAACAGCGACACCGAGATTCCTGAATTCCCAATTTCACCTGAAATTGCATTAGAATTGCTGATGGCTGTGAATAAAATAAATCATATTAAACTGTTAACTCTTTTCAGTATGTTTCTTTAAACTATACTTTGTACTTGTGTATTTAAGCTACAAATTATATATCAGAACTCACTTAACTGCATCTCCCAATTAAAATCTAATTTTAAGGGCAGCAAATAAAAATTGACCTTTCAAATAAATGGATCTCCAAATATCAAGTGATTTAAATAAACTAAATTTAAATTCTATAGTTAATCTTTCTTGATAAAAAAAAAAGTCTTCCGTCATTTCTGTCAAAATTGGACCTCCCAAATGGAGTCACTGTGTATCTATTTCCATCCTCAAACCACACATTTGGTTCACAAATCAAGTAATTATGAGTACAAAGGGATCTTGGAAAGTGCAATCATGTTACTGGCACATGTAAGTAAAATATGGATGCTCAATTTCCATCTTAATGCATGCAAATGATAGACCCACACATAAGGGCCTTATAACACCCCTGTGCACAGCGTTGTGCTTTGGCTATTAGGTTTAAGGCGATATCCTGTTACTCTGAGCATGTTGAACAATGTTTCACATGAGACTTAACCCCAATTCTATTTTTGTTTAAATTTCTAACTTCATTTCTAATAAAGATTGATTCTCATACTTAAGGAATTCTTTTGCCTAAGAAGGTTGAGATGTTACCGTATTTCATTTTGTAATGAAACAAATATATTTTTCTTTTTGGGCTCTATAATTCCTGGTCGGACCTTGGATCCATTGTTTACTAAATGTGTGGTCTAAGCTTCTTGGGATTTTCAGTCCTCATCTGAGAAATGGGACGGTACTTGGGGTTGCAATGTCCAAAGCACAGAGGTTATGCACTCGGTGAAAACTGTGCAGCGATAACTCTATGTTTAACTCTTTAAGGAATTCCCAGATTATTTTCCAAAGTGGCTCCATCATTTTATATTGCTACCAAAAGTGTGTGAAGATTCTGATTTCCTCACATTCTCACCAACACTTGTTATCACCTGACTTTTGATTCTTAGCCATCCTCGTGGGTGTGAAGTTGCACTTCATTATGGTTTTGAATTGCATTTCCCCAGTGGCTGGTGATACTGAGCACGTTTTCATGTGCTTAGTAATCATTTGTATATCTTTTTGGGAAAAGGTCTTTTCAAATTTGTTGCCCATTTAAAAATGTGATTGTTTGTCTTTTCATTACTCAATTGTAGACTTCCTTATATATTCTGGATACAAGTCTTTATCAGATATGTAATTTTCCAAATTGTTCTCCAATTTTGTGGATTGTCTTTCCACTTTCTTGAAGATGTCCTTTAAAGTACAAAAGTTTTTTTTTTTTATTTTGTTGAGATTCAAATTATTATTATTTTTTTGTTCCTTACGATTTTAGTATCATAGTTACAAAATCCATGACATGTGTTACAGTGGCACAGTGATATACTTTGAGAAGCACTGGTCTAATTGCCAGATGGTCCTTGAGTTATACAGTTCATTCTTATGGAATCTGATCTGGATTTATTAGAAGCTACTATCTACAGAAAGATTAGCCTAACCCAGAGCCCAGCAATGAGACATTATATTCCATCTGTTCATTCATTGAGTGGTTGCTGGAGCACTGTAGGTATTATGGAAATTAGAAAGAGATGCCAACTGTGGCAGATAGAGTCCCTCGGGTGGAAGTCTTGGTGAGTTTGTATAACAAGTGGGTCCCTCCTCTGGTCCACTGTAACCCTGTGCTGGGCCAGTGACCTGAACTAGCAGAACTTGAGTGGGTTTTCAGGCCCTGTTCATTCCCTTGGCCACACACATTCATGTAGTACTCAGACTACGCATACATATATGTGCACACATAGTGGCCCTGGCCACTTTTCGGGTGATTTATCTTCGGGTGATAAATCGATGAATAAACTCAGTTCCGTTGGTTTACTTAAGTTGAAAATGAGTAAATCATAGAGCAGAGATTCATACCCTCTATCATGGCTTCGGTTCCAATATTCTTCCCATCATGCCACTTTCTCATATTCGATGGTCACTCAAATTTTGACACCTTAAAGCCTATTAAATTCCTCCACCTGAAACCACATTAGGAACGGCTGACATGTCAGGAATCTATCTACCATGCTGAAGTCTGCACTCGGAGTCCTATTCCCTTTGCATTGCTTCCCTATATCACACACCTGGCTTTTCAATTCAGGACTACCAAACATGAGGCAGTGTTTCTCTTCCTCTGTCGCCAAACTGTAGCAAGGTCTCTCCTACCTCTGTGAAGTTACCAAAACACTATGAGTTGGAGGAAATCCTGAATTGGTGTAGGGCATTGCCTTGGCACCAGAATGCCTGTAAGTTTTTATTCAAATGTGAATGTGATGGTTAATATGAGGTGTCGATGTGACTAGATTGAGGGAAGTCTAGATGGTTGGTGAAGCATTGTTTCTGGGTGTGTCAGGGAGGGTGTTTACAGAGAGATTGGCATATGAGTCAGCAGATTGGGAGCAGGCACTATCCAACTGTGCCAGTGAACTGGAACAAAGCAGGTGGGAGAAGGGGGAAACTCAGCTTGCTTTGTTAGCTTCCTTTTCCTCTGTCCCTTCCAGAGTGAGGCGTTTTTTTCTGCTCCTGCCCCTGGACATCAGACTTCAGAATCTTTGGCCTTTGGATTTTGGGACTTGCCCCAGTGACCTCCTGGGGAAATCTCTTGACTTTTGGCCTCAGACTGGGGCTGCATTGTCAGATTCCCTGTTTTTGAGGCTTTTAAACTTGGACAGAGCCACACTGGGCTTTTCTCATCCCGCAGCTTATAGATAGCCTATTGTGAGACTTCCTCTTTGTAATCAGGCGAGCGCACCTGATTATTTTGTCAAATACTAGCATTAACTCTGTGGTGAAGATACCATTTTGTCAAGGAAGAAATTCAGTTCAATTGGTTTACTTTAGTTGAAAATGAGTGAAGCATAGAGTGGAGAGTCATACCCTCTCTTATGACTTCGGTTCTAATATTCTTTCCATTATGCCACTTTCTAATATTCTATGGCCACTCGAGTTTTGACATCTTGAAGCCTAAATTCCATCACTTGAAACCATATTAGGAACTGCCTGTGAACTAGAACAAAGCAGGTGGAAGAAGGGGGATATTCAGCTTGCTTAGCTTCCTTACACACACATGCACATATACACACACGTATATACGTGTGTGTGCGTGTGTGTGTATTTTATTGGTTCTGTCCCTCTGTAGAGCCCTGATTGATATGGATTTGAAGCATGGGCACACAAATACACAAGGGCATAGAGAGAAAGCCAAGGAGCTATGGCAGAAGAGACTGGAGGAGAGGATTTTATGATTTCTTTCATTGTAGGCAAATCTTTATTGCCAAAGAGATACATATTGGTGCATTTTTGGATAACCTGTTTTTTTCCCTTGCCAATATATTTTGCACTGCCTTCTGCCATATTTTATTCTTTTTTTGTGGAGGAGGTTGCTTCTTTTTTCTCTTTCTGTCATGGGAGAAGTGAAGGAGAGGTTCCAAGAGAATACTTCATAGATAATGAAGATGTATGTAAGAAGTGGAGCTCAGCATATCTCCTAAGAAAATGAATTTGTCAATTGTCCTTGCACCCCTGAAACAAAGCAAAAGTATTTGAAGAGAAGTGACTGGAAGGAGAGCATGGGTAGCCTGTGCTCCCCCTTCTTGGTCTGACAAGTATCAGGATTGGAGTTTTTTGTTTTACGGGCTGAGTGACAGAGCCCTGCTCATTCCTTGGCCAGATACATTTGTGTAGTACTTGGACTGACAGCAACTAGACTAAAGTGGCCTTCCTCTTGTCCCAAGGGTGGACTACTGGAGTAGGGGACCACAGCAGCAGGGGATATGGAGCATGTCAGCTCGGGTAGAGTGGAGGAAGATAAAGGAAGAAGAAGCATAGTTGCATTTCCTAGGGCAGGAAATCGTATAACATGGATGTGTCTTATGGGCTTCAGGAAAGTGCACATGTGTATCCTCCAGATGACCAGCACTGGGACGTCTGCCACACTAGCAGCATTGGCTGTGAGTACTGTTATCCAGGGAAGCATCTGTAATTCCCAAGTGGGTTACAGCAACTTCCAGGTAAGTAAGAGAATCCTGTCCCTTTCATTTATCCCCACTTTGCTACTTTATAACAGAGAAGTTGAAGCCTAGGAGAGGGATATCAGCATGATGGAAGAAAAGAAGTTGCCAGTTTTTATCTCTCCACAAAAAAACAAGTAGACAACTATTCACAAACAAAAATAGCTTTGGAAGGGATCCAGGTTTCATTTACAAACCAGCAGCAACACAGTGGAGCAAAAACCGGAGAATAGCTGCACAGAAGTGATAGCTGGAGAGATTGGCATACTTGGGACATCCGGAGATGGCTAGGTTCAAAGAAGAATGGGGGCTATCAGTATCAGTCATGGAATGGATGCCACCGTGGTCCCCTGTAACCTGCTTGACAGAGGACACCAGTAGCTTTCACTAAAGTGAAACTAAAGTAGCCAATACCTCCAGATAGGGAGATACTGCTGAGCTTTCTACACTTCCCAAGAAGAAAGTGTACTGAAGATCCTTAAGCTGTGTCCACCCCAGGCACACCTGCATTCCAGATCCTTGCTCTGTGGTCACACCACATACTCCTTTGCCCCAGACACTGAAGCCACTACTACTGCAAGCTAGTCCTTCCCTTGGCCTCATAGCTGAGGCCACTCTGTGTGTATCTGTGCTCTGAAGGCTGGCTATGCCTTGGACACGGAAGCCACTGCCCACACCCTAGAGCCCATAGTCAATGTCACTCTGCACACACCTGTCCCAGACCTTGCCTCTGTGGTTGCTTCAAGAGTACCTGGACTCTAGATAGCAGATCACTGCAGCAGATGTATCTGTACCCTGATCCCTGGAGCAGCAGTAGACCTGCCCATGACCATGCTGCACACCCCAGAGCCACTGTCACTCCTCATGTACACAAGCTCCAGCCCCTGACACTGTGGCTAGTCCATGAAGGTGCACATCAAACACCAGTGCCACCCTCACCCTGAGCACATGT